AGAATACACTTTGTAAACAATCCGATGTTCTATTTTGAAAATGAGTTAATCGAGGTAAAAATTCTTTTTGACCTTAAAATCGTCATAACTTTGAAAGTTTTCAACCGATTGGAATTTTCCGAGATGCAGGTTTTATAGAAAATTCTAAGTTTTTTAACACATTGCCAAATCGACCTGATATTAGCAGTTAAGTATAACGTTTCCACATTCAAACACTTATGACTCAAGTTTCTCAACTGATTTCAAGTTTGCAAAATACGACTTTAGTACAAAATCACCCGCTTTAGAACCTTAAATCGGGCCCGTATTAAGAGAGTTACTGAAGGATCTGATGCGCTATATAATGGTAATAACAGCCAAATATTCATAATTTGCGTGGCATTCGCACCCGCCCTTAGTTCTTTTGAGAATGGCCGAATATCAAGACGTACTAACAGACGATAAGGATGGAGGAACGCACTTGATAGGTACTTACTTGCCAGGGCCAAGCCCCTTTGATACTTTGTTTCCCATTAATTATCCGTCCAACTGATCCAGCTCTGGGCTGCCTGGACCTTCGAAAACTTCGACCACATTCTGCAGAACATATCAAATGAGAAGCGGTTTCTTCTCGGCTTAATCACGAGTAAATGAGATTAGAAAAAAATTCAATTGCTCTCATTTAGGAATCGAAAGTGTCCCAAAATCATTCGTTTCATTTCATTTTCATTGCTGTAAGCACAACATATACACAACCGAATGCCTGAGATTGAAAAGTGAACTGAAACATTCTGGTAAACGATGTTGGATGCTATTCCTTAACAATATTCAGTACCTTTGGCAATTAATTAACTGCTGCAAGGCGGTTTTTGGTGTGTTTTACATCGCAGGCATAAAATCTGATAATTAAATGTAAGATTTATTGTCGAAGCAAACCTTCGATATCTGGACGAGCAATGCAAATTTTCTTCACTGTTGATAAATTTGTCAAAGTACACAATAATTACCTTCCTGATGGGCCAAGATCACAGCTGATTGAAACTGGAGTACCAGTACGATCGAAAGTAACAGTAGCTGGAACGAAGGTCGGCCGCACATAATAACTACGTTAAGTAAACAGGCGCTCAGCCATGGTACGTGCCAGCAGTGGTTCCGTTACCCCAGCAGGTCGTAGCGAAGAGGTAATTGAGAGAGAGTGAAAATTGAAATATTATAATAATAGTACCGGCGGTGGTGCTTGTAGTAGGCGATATTCGATGCAAATGAAAGTGCCACTGCATGAATTGTCGGTTCATTGTTCCAACCATTTCTTTGGCCTTTGGAGAGCACCCAAGAGTAGTGGGTACTTGATTGTGCGAGAGTTATTGTTGCGGTACCTCGCTCTAATGACTCTTTCAATCGACCGCGAGAGAGGTAAACTTGATGCAATGTCCCTCGCTAACTAACGACACTTACATTGTCTTTTCTACTTTCTTTATCACTGATCTGAACCGAGCTGACCGTATTGTTGACCAATTAAAATGCAGCATTTCAATTTTGGACGCCTGCGTTTATGTAATTTTCATTTTGGGTACCTTCGCATTAGATTTCAGTTAAAAGGTTTTAAAACAAACATATTAAAATGCCTCTACGACTTTGATGAGTTCTTAAAAGTACCTAATTTGCTGCTTCAAATCGCGAGACTCAACTTGAGAAAGCGCCGAGGAACAGAAACAGTTCGCAAACTTATTAATTAATTAATTCATCAGAATAAACAAGAAATTAAGTGGCC